GTTACGAAAGGGAAACAGAGAGTTTACATTGCAATCTCGGTGGGACCGATCGCTCATCTCTATGGTACCGAAACGTTACGAAGGGAAACAAAGAGATTACAATCCCATCTCAGTGAGACCGAGATCCCTATCGGTGAGACCGATTTGCCTAGGGTTTGTGGCAGTGGCTATGACATCTGAACTCGGTGGCGCCGGATAGAAAGAATCAGTGGGTCCGAGTTGGACTTTATGTTTAGGTCATATGTGGATGTGGGAAAGTATTTGAGGGTTTTGGAGCATATCACTAAGCACTATGAAGCAAGAACCTCCTTAAGCAACACCTCATCCCTCCTTGATAGTATTGGCTTTTCCTATAGACTCAATGTGATCTTGGATCACTAAAATATAAAATTTAGAGTCTTGAGCTTGAAGCTTGAGCCAATCCTTTTATCCTTAGCATTTTGAGGGGTCCACTTTTCTCATCCATGCCATGCCATTCATTGAGCTTTTCCTGAAATATTTATCTGAAATAATGTTAGCTCAATGAGTTATATGTTGTTAGGAATTACCAAAACCACATAGGGATAGTTGCACTTTCAATCTCCCCCTTTTTGGTAATTGATGACAACATATAGATCAAAGCTTCGACAAATGATAATAAGATTGAAAAGCATTGTCGCTTTGAGAAATATGTGAAATGTGAGAGCTCCCCCTAAATTTGTGCATAGATTGAGATTTGCTTTGGACTGCAAATGCACATAGAGTTAGGATCATGAGTTCCTCTCCCATGTCACATACATCTTGGTGGAGCGCTCAAAATGATAATAATCAAAATACATGCACTCATCACCAAGCAAAGTGAATGATCATATAGAGATAAAAGGATAATATCATCCAACAAGCATTAATGTAGCATATGATCAAACACATGATCATCCAAGTATCACACAGACATAAAGTATCTCAAACAAGCGAAAGCAAACAAAGTTCAACCACCAAAACAAGAGAGAATAAAAAGCAGACACTCTCTCTCGAAGCCTATGTTCTATACATCCCCCCCCCTTGGCAACAAGTTACCAAAAAGTTCTTAGAAAATGCATAGTACTATGTAGACTCTCAGGCTTGGTCTTGATGTGGTGGTGTAGAAATGACTCCAAGAACGAAGGCATCAGTTGATGAAGTTGGAGCTGGTGGAGTAGGTGCCGGAGCTGGTGGTACTGAAGCTGTAGCAGGTGAAGATGAAGTTGCTCTTGTGTCTGTCACTGGCACTGCAGCTGATCTCTGAGCTCTAGGCACTCTAACAAATGCCTCAGTGGTTGTCTTGCCCTTCCTCTCCTGCATGTCATCTTGGAGTGGCTCAACAACAGACTGGATCTCAATTACCTTCACATCCAAGTCATAGAACTTCTCCTCCATGATCCTCTCCAGGCTCTCCTGGTTTTGAGTCAAGGTGGCCAACCCCTTCTCAATCCTTAGAGTGGATGCAATCAAGTAGCCAAGCTGATCTTGCTTGCTCTTCAGGAAATACTCAGATGCCTCGTCAATAGTTGGCATCTTGGCAGCCTTCTCGGTCCTTGCCTTCTCCTTCTTTGTTTGTGCTTGCACAGAAGATGGTTCATCTTCATCCATAACCACTTGGTTGTCCTCAAAACTGGATAGATAGGCATGTGATCCTTGTCCAACAAGTATGTGTCAGTGCCCATCTTGGAGTTAATCAGCTCCTGGATCTGTGGGGCATACCCACAACTTCTCTTCTGGTCAGCAGATGTCCTCTTGATAGTTTCAACTATGAGGCTCATGACCTTGAACTTTTGAGGCACATCAAATAAGTGTAGCAGATTGATTGCATGGCCTCTGATCATATTGTGATCTCCTGACTTAGGCAAAAGAGTGTGCCTGAGGATCCAGTCGATGGTTGGCACACCTGACAGAAAGTAATGTACTGATCCAAACTTGTGTGTTTCAACGGCAGCATCTGGGATCTCCTTGTACATATGTGCCAGTGTTGTGATCCATCTTCTTCTTGGCATAGACATCCAAGTCATCCTATTTCTCCTTAGGTGCATTGATCAGATTGGCCCATTCTTCAATAGTAGATTGGTACCTTGTACCTTCAGACATCCATACTAACCTGCCATCTGGATAGAAGTGTGTTGTGGAGTAGAATTGCATTATGAGCTCATCATTCCACTTTGTGAGCTTCTGCCCAACAAATGTATCCACTCCACAACCCTTGAAACTGTCAAACACACCAAGATAGTGTTCTTCATTCTCCTTGATATATTTCCAGTCCACCCATCTCATATCACAGACTATTGGCTTCTTGTCCAGCAGCACTGTCTCATAGAAATCCTGATGTCCAGCAGCACCGCCGCTGCGCCTCCGCCCCTACCAGCCATGGCCACGGCAGAGGCGGACACCCGCAGCTCGCGCCGCTCCCGGCCCGCGCCGCCTGGGCCCAGATCTGGCCGCATGCCGACAGGGTCAGTGCCACCGGAGCCCACCGCACCCCAGCCCCTTCACGCCGCCACCCGCGACCCACGTCTCTGCCACCTGCTGCTGCCGCGCCGCCGCCCGATCTTGGATCCCGCGACCGTCGTCCGGAGTAACACCTCGTTACCGCCCACGGTGGCAGGGCTTAGCCCACCAGTACGTCGGGGCGGCGCCGAGGGGAGGGAGGCGCGAGGAGGAGGGCCGCAGGCCAGAGCTAGGGTTTCCCCCGACGCTCGCGGGAGCGTCGCGGGAGGGGAGGGGAGGGGGATCTGAAACGTACCTCTGTTTACAATGGTTCATTCAGCTTCTGGTATTTAGCTTCAAAGGCAGTCAATTCTTCAAAAACTTTGCCAATCTGATCATGTTCAGTCTGAATACACAGACGAATGTTGGTTCTCTGAGGCAGCCAAAAATCACATAATAAAGTGGGAATTTTACTTGCAACATCAATCTACTGATCTAACAGATATGCTTAGACTTTGATTCCCCAAATCCCCATGGATAATTGATATGATACAGAACAAACTGGAAGGAATAACAGAGGTTGAGTGCACACACGAAAATGCTAGGAAATGGGGACAGTATGAATCATTTAGCTTGTCTGAAGTTGGGCCAAACAAAGTCAGTTATACATGCTAACAACAAAAAATGCCAACATAGTTTGAGAATCTTTCAATCCTGCAGCTTAACCCAGCAAGTGTTTATAATTCTAAAACAAACTGACGGACATAAATGAAACTCCTAACAAGCCTCGCAAAATACAAAAGCTTGGATCACTTTACCTTGAGGAAACAAATTACTCATGTTCAGGTCACATGAAAATTTTCATGCATCTAATTCTAAAGCTGTAGGCAACATGGTAGCAGCATATGGTGTCTCTATTCAGTGTTGAATCCCTCATACTTTTTCAGTTCATAACTCATACACTGGCTTATTTTGTGTTTACCTTTGTTCTTGTATAGGATCGGCGCAATAAGCTGTAACAGCACTAGCAGAATGTACATCGGTAACAAGTCATAGCAACATGTTAAGGTAATATTGCAAATATAGCAAGGGAAAGATGGATGGTATTAAGAGAGATAATTTCAACTTCTGTTCCTCTGACTAGACAAAATCCATGCATAGGACCCAAATCCATGCACTGCTGGTAAAGTAATGAACAAGAAATGGTTTCTGAACATTCCCATAAATGCCTGAACTGAAAGAGAGCTGATTGTCCACCGTATATCTCTATAGAACTGCTAGTGCGGAGAAGCGCTTGTTGCACAGCAAGGACCAACAAAAATGGATATGAGAAGTTCAGCTTGGCGATATCAGAGGCAATGTACACCCTGGCAATGTTTTTTAACAGCAGGAATCCACTACTTCTCACCGTGGCATCCTGCCCCCGAGCTCTGCTGCTATTCGCTTCTGAGTCGCACGTACATAATTTTCCAGAAGGAGAAAAGACAACTGAATATCACAGCAGCCAAACAATATAACAGAGCAGACCGACAGAATCACCAAAATCAAAGCGACAATGTTAAACCAAAATATAATAGTGTTCAATACCATCTGTACAACATTAGTTCAGGTCATGTATTTTTTTTTCATCATCTTGTTAGCAGGAGATGACCAAAAAAATTAAGCTGCAAACAAATGAGACGACAGGACAAATTTGCATCATAGAACTGAAGTTTTCGTTGCCACTTCATTTCAGCGTCACAACGCAGGAAAGAAAGATCACCAGACAGCAAGCATCATATCAACACTAGAGACACCCAGCACACATCGTATTCAGAAAAAATATTTTCCACTGCTGATCCTTTGACTAGACAAAAATCCACACCCGGGACCCAAACCCATGCACTGCTAGTAAAGTTATGAAGAGGCAATTGTTTCTGAACGTTCCCGTAGATGCCTAAACTGAAAGAGATCTGATTGCCACTGTATATCTCTATAGAACTGCAAAGCAAGGACAAACAAAATTGGATACAAGAAGTTCACCTTGGTGATATCAGACACACTGTGCTCATGTTCATTGCCATATGCACCTGGCAATGGTTTCAACAGATCAGGAATCCAGTCCATCTCCTTCTCAACCTGCCCAAGGTGAAAATGGAAAGACAATCTGCCTTGCATAGTGTACAAAATTACCTGATAGGAAAAAGACAACTGAATCTCACAGCAACCAAGAAGAAATAACAGAGCAGATTAACAGAATCACCAAATCCAAGCGACAGTGTTAAATCAATTAGATCATGCATTGTTCAATCCCATCAGTGCAACACTAATTCAGGACATGTGTTCTTCAACCATCTAATCAGCAAGACATGATTAAAACAATTAAGCAGCAAAGAAATGACACCACAGGACAAATTTGCATCCGAAGATAACTGCACTTTTCATTGCCATTTCGTTTCAGCATCACACTACATCAGGAAAGATCACCAGAGACGAGAAGAAAGATCATATCAACACTACATGGGAACCCAGCCAGCACATTTCCTTACAACCAGATCGCAAGACACGAACTGCTACAGCCAAACCTAGGCGCGCTCCCCGCGGATGCGGCGGGCGAGCTGGATGTCCTTGGGCATGATGGTGACGCGCTTGGCGTGGATGGCGCACAGGTTGGTGTCCTCGAAGAGCCCCACCAGGTACGCCTCGGCGGCCTCCTGCAGGGCGGAGACGGCGGAGGACTGGAAGCGGAGGTCGGTCTTGAAGTCCTGCGCGATCTCACGGACGAGGCGCTGGAAGGGGAGCTTGCGGATGAGCAGCTCCGTGCTCTTCTGGTACTTGCGGATCTCCCGGAGCGCCACGGTTCCCGGGCGGAAGCGGTGGGGCTTCTTCACGCCGCCGGTGGCCGGGGCCGACTTGCGCGCCGCCTTGGTCGCCAGCTGCTTCCGCGGCGCCTTGCCGCCGGTGGACTTGCGCGCCGTCTGCTTCGTGCGGGCCATCGGAGCTGGTGGGGGGAGGAGTCTAGGGTTTGGATGCTTCGCCGGTGGGGGATTTGAGCTGTGGTGTGGTCTGGTGGTGAGGCGCGGGGTTAAATAGGCGAGGGGTGGGCGCGGGTCGGGGAAATTTTGGGGGGAAGGCGCGGGCTGGAGGAGGGAGACGAAGTTTGGAGCGTTGGATCGGGAGGAGATGGACGGCTGGGATCGGGTTTAGGGGTGAGCACGCGGATCGTGGGGGGCGATCCGTGGGAGGGTGTTTCGTGTGACGTGATTGGCTGGCCGAGGTGTGGTGTGAAGCTGATCCGTGGGTGGGGTGTTCCCGCGCTATCATCGCGTTTCGGTGCACACGTGGGCGCGGGAACGCATAGAAAATTCAGTTCTGTGGGAAAATCTTGATTTTAATTAAAGAAATTTCATATGAATTTTGAAGGATATTTACCCTTATAAAGCTTTAGGATTTTTCTATTTCAGGGAAAAAATCATTCAGTCAAACTTTTTTATACAATTCAGTTCTATAAGGTCGAATGCTCAAAATTTCTGGGGCTCACTAGTCTGGTAGGGTTCAACATGACATGGCACTTTAATCTTGTACTGTATTTTTCCTACTCTTACATTTAAAAAAAATACAATTCGAAGGGACCCTTAATTGTTCGTCCTTAAGTGTTTAAGTGTCCAGAGATACATTTCCTCTTTGGACGCAGTTGTATTTCTTTCCCTGGTTTATAAAATTTATGACCACTTAGAAAAAATGAAGATTTATACAAGGTACGATCTCGTGCTTCGTCATGGAAAAACAAATGTATGTATACTTGTATAGGAATGGCATGCCCTGTTCCAGGATAACACGCATCACTTTATATTCTTTTTTTTTTGTGAACATCATTTTATATTCTTTGTTAGTTGTTGAGAAGTGTCGAAAACTGAGAAGAAGATAGTCATGTCCGGTCATACATGTGGTAATCGCAAACCATATGTTACATGTTCTAGTGGAGATGGAAGAGATAGTAGATATTCTTGTCAAAATATGTTTTCATCCCGTTTTATGAATAAAGTCACACGGCCTAAGAGCAACTCCACTCGTTCGGCCCCCTAGTGCATAGGCCGGCGCTATTTCAGACGCACGCTTGGCGATTTTTAGGCCCTCGGGGCGATCGAGGTCCCAGCCACGCCCCCGGGTGCCGCGCCGAAGGCGTCGGTAATTCAAACTTGTCCATTCCCGCTACCAAAAAACCCCACAAGTCCGGCGATCAACGCAACAAAGTCCCGGCGATCGGCGGTCACCTTGCCATAGTTCGGCGATCAATAAAAAGTTCGGCGTGCAAAAAAGAAAAGACGCATAGGCAATGCATCAAACGGCGGCGGCGGCCTCCGGCATCGGACTGGTGGGAGTCAGCGTGTGCGGGCTGGACGGCGTCGGTGCGGCTTTTGTGTTGGGCGCCGTGGAGGCATCATCGCTCAGGCTAGGCGGCGGCGTTGGGGTCGGCGTGGGAGTTGGCGCCGTCGACGGCATCTGATTGAGGATGAGGCCATGCTCCGCCAAGTACCACGCCTTGACCTGCTCGTCCATCGCCGGCATGTCCCCACCTTCCCAATCAAGAAAGCCAAGCCGGTGTTCCTCTTCTTTGCGGCGACGTTGGTCCGGAGCAGGTCGAGCTTGACGGCATTGTTCAGCATCAACGCCGACCATCTCTCCTTGGTTTTCTCTTCCCTCTAGGCAGCGCGGGTCTGGGCGTCGACGATGCACTGCTCGATGGACTCTTGCAGGCACGCGATAGCCGGCGCGGCATCCTTCACCGTCTTGGATTGCTTGTTCCCGTCCGGGCGCCCATCTGACGCGCCTGGCGTCGGCGCGTCCGGCTTGTACGTCTCCTTGGCCTTAGCGAGGGTGCGTCGGACTTCCGCCCACTTCTTGATCCGGGAGAACGCGTGGAGGTACTTGAAATCAGCGTCGGTGCTGCTGTCCTGGCGATACATGACGAACATCTGCACCATTTGCGCCGAAGAACAACAGACGACGGCGTACCACGACGAAAGAATGAGCGCGAGACAAGCGTGTCATGCCTGACCCTCAATGTTGGCACCGCTCTCCGGGCAAGCCGTGATCTCCTCGACGATCCCATGCCATTTGTTGCACGCCGTTTGGATGATGGCCCAATGATTCGCCATGGCCTTCGAGCCGCGCTGCATGTGGACGCCCTTGAAGTAGGGGTCAACGAGCTTGCGCTCGTCGAACTCGGACTTGATGCGCTCCCAATACGTGTCGACGTTCTGGTTCGTACCGGTGATCGGGTCGAGGCAGACGATTTTCCACGCTTCGGTGAGGCACTCATCCTCTTTTGACGCGCGGCTCGCCGATCCTGGCCGCCCGCTTCTTCTTTCTCCCTTTCCTCGCCGGAGCAGGCACTGGCTCCTCCTCCTTCTCCTCCTCTGGCTCCTCCTCCCCGTAGTCGAGCACGCTGTCTGCTTCGTGCGGGCCATCGAAGCAGGAGGGGGACAGAGGCTAGGGTTTGAGTGGGGATGCTTTGTCGGCGCGGGATTTGAGCTGTGGTGTGGTCTGGGGTGGG